GTATTTTTGATAGCAAATAAGTCACCCGGCTAAAACCAGATAAGATGAGGGAAAAGCAATAAAATACAACTTTGCCTTCTCCCAGAGCTGTGGAAACTTATTAGTTATTTCACTACTTATCCAGAAATTATGTTTGTCACGTTTGAATCTAGCTTGGGCTGTTGTGTTACTCTGCTGCTCTTGAGAATCAGTCGAAAACATTCACAGATATCAGCCAGACATTTTGATTGTTACTCGAGTACTAGTCGCGTCTGGTAACTTGACTTCTGGGCTGTGGGGGATACGGGGAGAAGGGAACCTTTGATTCAATTTGAAAGTTTAAATATTTTATTCGGGGAGTGAAGTTTCGGTTGCCCACTTGGAATTTACTGTGGCCCCCTAATTTTCCGTCATTCACGTGTGACGGCCCCATAGAAACATGGCGTGGCCCCCTGGGGGGTTTATGGCCCACGTTGAGAACCACTGAGCTACACCAACACTTGTATTGGTGATGATGCAGGTGAATGAAAATATCTTCATAAAAGTATGAAGCTCCAACAGTGAAAAGAATGTTCAAATAAAAGAAACTTTGGTGATAAAAAAGAAACCTTCCAACTGTATTAAACCCAAATGCATCAGCTATAGAAATGATTTTGAAAATGTTGTAAGTTGTACTTAATGCTGTTGGTGTTCAGTGTCACAAGTTAACACATCTTTAGCCTTCAAAGAGATTTATAAGCCAATCGATAATTAGTTTGTTTGTTTCTAATCAAGCACAAAGCTACACAATGGGCTATCTGTGCTCTGCCCACCACGGGTATCGAAACCCGGATTCTAGCGTTGTAAGTCCGCAGACATACCGCTGTGCCACGCGGGGGGGGGGGCTCGCTAATTAGTAAATGTACAAAAAAAGGACATAATAAATATCTTATAATGAAATATTATTCGAATATCTGCTACTAATGAATCCCCACTTAATATGTGAGTATCTGGAATATTTATACTCATCCAGAATGGGACTATTTTTATAAATCTACATGTATTACTTGTTCATTGTATTGTGTGATCTACTTTCAACCACTGAGCTATACTTTCTTTACCAAATACTTGTTGACACGCCATCCCAACATCCGCCTTCTCCCTGTGACACAGCGGTATAAGGCTAAGGAATTATAACGCTAAAAGTCTGGTTTCAATACCCGTGGTAAATAGAGCACAGATTGCTCGTTCGGTATATTTATACTTAAAAACAAACAAGCTTACTTATACTTCAATTACTTCTACAAACACTTGAAAATAAAGTTATTTTTCCAAAGTAAAATAACAGTATATAAGTCTTGTGACATTTCTATATGTAAGAAATACATTGACGTGAAACTATGTGATATAAAAGTTATAACAATGCCTAACCAAAAGAAATATTTGAACTATGCTTCATTCAACATTACGTAATTCAAAACTTTGAAATAATTTTTGTTCTGCCTTTCAAATAAACTTACACTTTACAGTAACTAAATATATGTTGTTTATTGTTCTTTGTTCTATCTAAGTCTTTGTTTTAAAATATATCAAACTTATAGATGGTTCTTCATGACCAAAATATGACCAATTACAAATTAAGAAACTTGGAATTACTTTATGATAATACAGGGTGTCCATAAAGTCTGGAATCAATCTAAAGTTAAATAATTTGAAACATTTTTTTTATTCATTTTATATTTTATTCTTTTTGTTGTTGTTTTGTGTTGGCCATACGTAATAATCATGTCGTTAAGCATACAAGAGCGTGTTGAAATTATCCTGTTGTGTGGACGTCAAGGATGGACACAGAGAGAAATAGCTGCAGAGTTCAATAAAGTATTATCATATGATTGTTTTCTGTATTATCATGTGATTTGTTTCCAATATTATCATGTGATTATTTTCAGTATTATCATATGATTGTTTTTTGTATTATCCTGTGATTATTTTCTGTATTATCATGTGATTTGTTTCCAATAATATCATGTGATTTGTTTCCAATATTATCATGTGATTATTTTCAGTATTATCATATGATTGTTTTCTGTGTTATCGTGTGATTATTTTCTGTATTATCATGTGATTATTTTCAGTATTATCATGCGATTGTTTCCAATATTATCATGTGATTTTTCCAGTATTATCATTTGATTGTTTTCAGTATTATCATGTGATTTTTTCAGTATTATCATGTGATTTTTCCAGTATTATCATGTGATTTTTCCAGTATTATCATGGGATTGTTTTCAGTATTATCATGTAAAATTTTCCAATATTATCATGTGAAAATTTTCCAATATTATCATGTGATTTTTTTTCAATATTATCATGTAATTTTTCCAATATTATCATGTGATTTTTTTGCAGTATTATCATATGGTTTTGGTTATTATCACAAAAACATCGAATCAAATTCTAGTGATAATATTTTGAACACACATTATTTACACACTAAATCTTGTTTTCAAGACAGTATTGTTACTTCCAGTTTTGTCAGGATGTGAAATATGCATTTTCTTCAATTATGTGAAACGTTTAGTAGCAGATTACCTGAGGCTGAGCCTTGAGTGCCCCCTGAAGGCCTGAAAACATCACTAGATTCTCTGCTCAAGGATTCGTTAAGAAAACCAAGGTTTTCTCCTGTTAACAATATTTTCAGATTTAACAAATTGCATCACAAGTTTTAAAATCCATTAAACAGACACTTTTTATATTCTATGCCCGATGTTCTTCTGTGGTCTACGTTTAAGCTTTTGTTTCGTAACTCTTACAATTCAACAGTCATATTCTACTTGTTACATTCGTTAATTTTTGTGTTTTATATCTAAATAAATATATTTTTTTTACAAAGAAAGGATAATTTTGTTAATCTAAGCAAGTTTAAAAACAATTCCCCCTACACAAGAATTAAAATTTTGTTACACACATACATCATAAATAATTAACTCACATTTCTTAAACTAGGTATGTAGTATACAACTGATATACGCTTTAGTTAACATATATTTAGAGAAACAGAAAAGTGGGGATTCCAGCTAAGCGTTCATTGACATAAATCGTTCATTAAATTGTACTTGCAGCATGACAACAAAGATAAAACTTACTATAACTTATTTTCCTTTACTTAACAGGTTCCAACTATTAAGCGCAATACGAAACTTTCACAAATCCAAAAGATATTGCGTTTAAGCAATTAAATATAAACAAAAACAAAATAAAAACGGTTGATTTTTAAAAGTCACACTGATAAATGAAAGGTATTAGTGACAAACATAACATTCTATATTTATAGGTTCCCTTATATGTTCACTACTTCGCTATGCTGCGTACAAAAAGATACACAAGAAAATTAACATTCTTGGAAATTTGCATCAAACAAACTTTAATATAGTTGGCTACACTAGAATGAATACAATAGAGAATACAATACAATGAATACAATATATTACGTATGAAAAGCAAAATTATCATTTAACATTATGGATTAATCCTATAAAAATAAGCATTTCCTTAATCACTTAATGTATGAATTAAGTATATGTTATTAATTGATCAGCAGAAAATCCTATTTTGTATTCTAGAAATATGAGTCCTTAGAGTTAGTTATCAATAAATGATGCAAAGTCTTAACCGTTATACATAATTAGTGCCGTGAAGGAAATGTTATCACCATCTGCTTACCTGTTTAATAAGTTCAAGTGTTCAGGGGCAAAATGTAGTAAATCAAAGTAAAAAGCTAGTCACCAAAAAACTTTAAATTTGACCTTCTCGGGGGGAAACGAAATTATTCAAACGAAAGCAAAGATTAAAACAATGAAAGTTTTTCCAGTCAGTTTATTTTTGGCTTAAAAATTATTAATAAAGAATAAGTTTATCATTTGTATTGTATATTCATCCCTTAATTACGTGTTAGTTAGACAGAAGAGATCACGTGCTAGTTAGTTCAATGGAAGATAATACACAATCTCATGATTACCAATGTAAACGAATTACGCTTGATATTCAAGAACTGAAGTTGAAACGTCCACTAAGATATAAAATAACGAATTATGAAATATGACTTTAGAAAATTAATTGAATTTATAAATTAATGGAAAATTAAGAAGAAAAATAACAAACCATTTCAGAGAATCATTTCGATACACAAGTAATAACTGTCTTATTACCTTGTATTCGTCTTGCCGACTCCTTTGTGTTTAGATTGGACTTCCTATCTGCTTGTTTTAAGGGCATGTTTTCATCTTCTACTTATTAAAAAGTGGAGAAAGGATCATGAAGTGTTAATATGCTGGGCTGCTCGAACATTTATGGACACTGTTCTTAAACTTTGTTTTATTAGTCTTATTATAACACTTATTAGTTTTTTCTTTTCGTGTACTTCGAAAATATAAAATTAAACGAGTACACGCTGTTGATATAAGTCACAAAAAAACGTATGTTTTTTATTTTCACTTCGTTGTGGAGTCATATTTGTAAAGCAAAGAAACAAAGTGATTCTCACAATAGGGCTGACACTAATTAAAACAACAATAATTCTGTACTGAATCAATACAAGTTTTTCAACTATATTTCATATATATGGAAAACGCTGCCAAGAAGCCTTTGACAGATCCTGCTGGACTGAAATATTTCGAGTCTTAGTTAATATATCAATCGCGTATGATATATATGAAGTTTCATATGGTATAACTCTTAAGCTCAATAATTATGATCTATATTAACAAAGAGCAGGTCTATGAGACGTAAACAATTTCCATCATTTCTCTTTATTAAACTCCAATAAAAATGAAACGGAAAGTAGTTCGTATCAAGCCTGAATTTAGAAAACCATTTATTTATTTGATTTTACGTAGTAACAATAAAGCAGTGAGCTCTACTGAAATTGTAGTTAAAGAATTAGGGCTAGTTTATAACCTAGCTGGCAGTATTAATTGATCTACGTAAAGATAATATTGTATTTGTTGAGCCAGCATTTTTAAACCCATGCTTTTTTTTATTATTATTCCTGTAAACTCCCAGTGGAGCATAGGGCCGCAACAACATCTCGCAGTGTTGTTGCAGTTACTTGTAGCAGGTTGGTTTTTACGCGCCCAACCCTCTCCCTTTCTCATCCTGGACTTGGGACCAAGCAAAGGCTGACGTTGGCATGTTTGGTGTGACGGGGATTCGAACCCGCGACCCTCAGATTACGAGTCGAGCGCCCTAACCACCTGGCTATGCCGGGCCCAAACCCATGCTTAGTGTTTGATATTATGCATGTTTATGACTTTCGCTAAATAATAATTTTATATCATCATAAAACACTTCTTTTTCTGAATTCTAGGTGATGTAAAACATTTTTATTAAAATGTTATTCCCTATGCATAGTCATTTTAACTAACCGTCAGACATCCTTTTGAAAATTATCTAGTAATAAATAGACTTAATAATTTCGATTTGTGTCTACTTACTGATAATATATTAATTTATTACAAGCTTTTACATGAGCGAAGATGATTTTTAGAACAAGTTGGACTTTTCGATCACTGGTGCGATCATTCTCACAAGTTGTATTTGTGTACTGCAGGGCCCGGCATGGCCAGATGGTTTGGGTACTCGACTCGTAATCTGCGGGTCGCGGATTCGAATCCCCGTCACACCAAACATGCTCGCTCTTTCAGCTGTGGCGGCATTATAATGTGACGGTCAATCCCACTATTCGTTGGTAAAAAGAGTAGCCCAAGAGTTGGCGGTGGGTGGTGATGACTAGCTGCCTTCCCTCTAGTCTTTCATTGTTAAACTAGGGACGGCTAGCGCAGATAGCCCTCATGTAGCTTTGGGCAAAATTCAAAACAAACTAAACCCTTGCTGTGGGTTACTTTTCTAAAAATAACTAGGTTTGTTTATTTGTTGAATTTCAGGCATAGCCATTCGAGGGCTATTCTGCGGTAACCTTATCTAATTTGGAAGTGATAGAGTAAAGGGAAAGGCAGCTAATCAACACCACCTACCGCCAACTCTTGGACTACTAATTACCAACGAATAGTGGGACTGACCGTTACATTATACCCCTCCTCCACGGTGGTGGCATTCGAATCTGTGACCCAGCGTTTGTGTGTCGAATGCCCTAACAATCAAGACATGTCAGTCCCCCAAAAAACTAGGCCTCAAACTCTTGTACCCTAATTATCGGGCCATATCAGGCCCGAAAAACTAGGCCTCAAAAACTGTTAGATTAAACGACTGATGGTGATATTCCACAAAATGTCCAATAGGAACGTCGGTAAAAATCTACCCTTCTTCCTTTTTATCTATGTTGAAAAGCCTAAACAACGTAAATTTAAGAAACTTTCACTTCATAGTTAATTAATTAATTACTTGTAAGATTATGTGAAAAGTTACAATGACAGCGAACTTCCAGCTCTGTATAACATCTAATAATACTGACATTTGAAACCGACCACTTCTGTAGTTCTATTAGAATGATTTACTTAATAAAACCACAGCGTGAAGTGTCGAACGTTATGTAATAAAATTCTTCGTGAGCTTTGTATTTGAAAAATAAGACTTTTTTCGTTATTTTGCAGAGAAGAACCATATCGTTTGTGGGAGTTATTTTGGTTCTAGGTTAGGTGTATTTTATGATATCGATATTACAAGAAATTATAATTCACTTTTCTTTAATGTTTCTTCCTGTGGGTCAATGGTAAGTTTGCAAATATGCAAAGCTAAAATCCGGAGTTTGATTCCCGTCCGTGGACAGAGTTCAGATAGCCAATTGTGTAGCCTTGTACAAGTAAATAACAACAACCAAACATTCTTTTAGTTGTAATATTACGTAAAAAAATGCAAGCGCATTGAAAAGAAAAAGAGTATACAACTCTGTAAAAAAAAAGATGGTTACAGAACAAAATTTAGCCCGGCATGGCCAGGTAGTTACGGAGCTCGACTCACAATCTGAGAGCCGCGGGTTCAAATCCCCGTCACGCCAAACACGCTCGCCCTTTCAGCCGTGGGGGCGTTATTATGTGGCGGTCAATCCCACTATTCGTTAGTAAACTAGTAGCCCAAAAGTTGGCGGTGGGTGATGATGACTAGCTGTTTTCCCTTTAGTCTTATACTGCTAAATTAGGGACGATAGCGCATATAGCCCTCGTGTAGCTTTGCGCGAAATTCAAAAACAAACAAACAACAGAACAAAATAATCACCATAACCATAAATCTTCCTGTTGCTGTAATTTCTTTAAGAAGAAAATAAATATGAACTCGAATGAATTCGTGCTGCTGTATTTTCTTCTGTAATTTAATAAAAAAATAACATTGATGCTCTTGTTTATTATTTTGGACATTTACTTTTGTGGCTTGGGATACCATAAATATAACACTAATAATATTAGATTATTAACAGAGTCGTATAAATAAAATAATAACAAAACAACAACGCCTTAGAAACTTTTTAATATTTAAAGTTTTTCTACTGAGAAAAGCTACAATAAATCGTGTGCTAAAGGGACTTCTCTAAAGGTTGCGAACTATGAAAAGCGTAAAAGAACATACAAATATAGTTTCTTTGCTGTAATTGGTTCTCCTCCATGCCCTCATCAAGATTCTGTCGTGTGCCCAGCTGGCAAGGCTGAGCATATTTTAACGCTAAAGGTTTGTTTTACATTTGGTCGTAAGTAGGTTTACATGAAAACTTTGTACTTATTGTACCATGATAACAGAATAGAAACATCAAACTTTACTCTTTATGTATATATATACTGGTGTGAAGGAATGTGAATTTTAATGTGTAGAATGTATATCTAGGTATATCCAAGTAAACTGCATAATACGAAGTGATAGGCGTCCACGTAAGATATTACAGAACACCTAATTAGATACTATTTCATTTATACTTATGAAAAAGTAGTATCCATGTAAAGCGCTCCTTAAGGCGACACTCCTGCTGGCTCAGCGGTAAATTTGAGGGCTTATAATGCTGGAAATCGGGTTTAGATGCCTGCGGAGATTAGAAACTAGATAGATTATTGTGTAACTTCGTGTTTAGTAACAAAGAAACCTTACAACAGCACTGATGGAACGGGAAAAAATCGTTTATTAGTGATTGTTACTTGCCTCGTGTGTTTTGGAGTGCCATGTCAGGGAGATTTTTCGTTTTGCTTGAAAAACAATCTAAAGTTAAGAGTAAAAAGAGCGTTTGATTGGTCTAAATTCGTGCTCCAGATTGAATTAATTACTTCACACGCCAGAATGTGAAGCGAGGAAGGCAATATCTCAATGTTTTTTTATGAGGAAAGCTGGCAGCAGGAAAAGGAAACGAGAAAGAGAAGGGTGCAAACAAGGACTCATTTGAAACACTGATATCCGATCGTCTCACCTTTCTTCTCAGACTTTTATCGTGTGTTGCTTTACCTTCACGAGTGTGCACTGAACAACACGTCTCCATCTGTTTACATCCTCAGTGATACAGTTCCTGCTAAAGTCACAGGCTGAGGATTCATATCGTATTTTTTGCAACATCCAATACGTTTCAATTCTCCTTGAAGATTCGAGTTAAATGTATAACTAGAGACAGATGTATTGGGAAGTTTCATTGTCAGCCTAATATTTTTTTCTAATCCATCTTGCAGTTCCATGTGGAAGAAGTGTCTCCGCCCAATGATTTTCCTTAACCTCGCTTCTTCGTAAGTAGACCAGTCTTTTCACGTTTAAAGAAGTAGCTGAGTTGTATTTCTGTCATATTGAAGCGTTAACATCAATGTGGCTCACACTAATTATGATTACCATAATTGTAGTAATACAACCTGGTTTATCAGTCGTTACTGCAACCGGCTTTATAATAGTAATGTTGCTTACAAAAATTGCTTGTGCACCGAAACTTTACGATTGGTTTCAATATCCTAGATCATATATTTGAGGTGACAACTCAATGTACCAAACATACATCTTCCTTTAGAGGGAGGCTTCAAACTTTTTGATTTATTTGAGCGTAGGGAAAAAAAGGCATTACCATGTTAAATAAGTTCTCATCAAAATCTTGAACAGGATATATTGGAAGATCCATTTTAGCGAAAATACTTTATTTTTTACGCTTTTCTCTATTTTCAGAGCCTGGAAACCAGACTACTTTGAATATCGAAGCTAATAATGATGATTTACACGATGCATGACCACGAATAGTTAGGTGCTATAGGATAAAAATAATGTTTTTAGTTTGTTTGTTTCGGATATTCATGCAAAGCTACACCTATACTAGTCGTTCCTAATTTTAAATGATAGCGTAGAGGTAAGTCTGCTAGTCACTCCATCAACTCTTGGAGGGGCTACTCTATTCGAATATAACGCACTCGCGGCCCCAAAATACAGAGCATGGTTTTGCGAAAACGGGATGCAAACCGTGGACTCATGACTTCACAGTCCGGCACGCCAACCATAAGGGCACTTAGATTTGTCAAAATGTGCAAATTAATATTTCGTTAAATTGAAAATTATATATACTTTTTAGAATATCTTACCTAATACCTTGTCCAGTTTAATTGTTTCTCTGTTCGAAGAAGGATGGATTTCTGTTAAATAATAAGAAACGTTGTTAACAACTGATATATATATCAAGAGACATAATCAGAAATAAGAATAATTTAGTAATTTTAATCAATACAGTGATATACATACTCCCGTTATTAGTAGGAGAAACAGTTAAATATTGTGCAGTTCTTACACCATTAAATATTTATTGAATTAATTATCTCTTTGTATAATAAATGTTGCTTTCAATACTTCGTAAACATGTTAGTCCCGTTTTGGGAATGTAAGTAAGAATACAGTAAAAGATAAAATATCACAAATTGACTGAAAGTAAAATATAGAAAGACTGAAACTATATTTAATGATCCCACGTTAATCAGTAAATGGGGATTTAATGGGGAATAATAACAGATAATTTTATCAAATGTTCTATAACAAAAAAAAAAAAACAGGCTCGTATTTTCTAACACAATTCGATTCTCTCTGTAATAATATAATTTTTTTTGTCCAAATGATGAATTTCATTTACGTAAAATAATAATTATAACACAGTACGAGAACAAAATTTATTCAATCTAGATTAGTACTTATTCACCTGAAAGTTACGTTTCTGATTTTAAACAATTAAAATAACAAGTGTTATAGCTACATTTTTCATAGCACTTAGCTCTATCCCCCCCTCAGTGGCTCAGCGGCATGTCTTATAATGCTAGAAACCGGGTTTTGATACCTTTGTTAAGCACATCACATATAGACCATTGTGTGACTTTGTGTTCGACAACAAACCAAATAATCAGGTACTTAGCTCAGTTGTTAGTACACTCGTATTATGCCAGCGTTAATATAACTCATTCATGTCTCAAAATATCTTTAATTTTCTAGCCGTAATTGATCTATTTTCCATAAAACAGATAGTAATAATAACAAAGATGGTTTCTGAAAAAAAAAGAAATTCTGATTTTTCTAAGCAATTTTCTAGAATTTTCATAATTTGAATTATTCTTAATTTCATTACTCCGTTATTTCACATACAACAGCTTAAATACAAAATTGGTTGTTAGTTTTCGCGCACACCTAGTGGTAGCCGTTTCTAACTTTGAAGATCTGATAGACTCGCGAGAAAACAGCTAAACATAATAATAAAATATAATAATATTATGTCTTTAAAAAAAATAAAATTATAATGATATATAATAATGCACGACAGATTAAAGAATTAACAAAAATCCAACTAGATTCGACAGGCCCAACTTATATAGTCATACTCCGTCTCTTGAGAATGTTAAAAAAAAAAAAGATGGTTATAGAACAAACTTTGACCCGGCCTGGCTAGGTAGTTAGGGTGCTCGACTCCCAATCTGTGGGTCGCGGGTTAGAATTCCCGTCACACCAAACATGCTCGCCCCTTTCAGCCGTGGGGGCGTTATGATGTG